AAACCTAACACAGTAACACCTACCAAATTAAAGTTCCATTGAAAGCAGCTACGTATGCAAGAATAAAAGTGACAATACAAAAGACGGGTTTTGAAAGGTTTGGTATTTAAAGCATATGTAAATAGTTTTGGATGTGTATTTTAAAATTGTCTTTTGGATACGAGGAAAATAAGGACATTGGTACAGATGTCCATTACTATTTGAATGTACCTTGTACATTTATCACATTAGGTTATAGCATGTGAGAACCACGGTTACAAAAGTAATTAAATTTTTATATTAAAATTCATAATTATTAATCAATTTATTTCAATAAATTATTAATTAAACATGATTTTGTAGGATTTTCAATATATAAATACAATTAATTATCGACAATCAAAACCGAAACTTATTAAAGACGAATTTAAATTTCTTCTAAAAATGAAGAATCAAATCAATATTTTTCGAGCTTATTATCAACATCAATACTTTTTAAAAATAAAAAACAATGAGAAAATGTCAAGTGTCATTTTTATAGAGCTTTTGAAAAAAATATAACTTAGGAGAAAATAACAAATGACAATACTAACTATTCTTTTATTAGTACATGAAGATTTATATAAAAGAGAAAATTTGGTGTCCTGTAACTATTGTCATCGTCATGCTTATTTGGCTAATGTTGCCGATGACAAATATCTTCCCTCAACTTATTTTTCTTTCGATGACACTCATCTCTCTCTCTCTCTCTATCTCTCTCTCTCTCTCTGTGTGTGTGTGCGCGCGCGCAATTAATGGTAAAACTTTGACAGAATTTATAAAAGTTTGTGTGTCGTCTATATGACCAAATTTTGAAAGATAAAAATATTACTAGGCTCTTTAACCTTTAGAAATGCAACACATAATTTATGAGACTTTGATTCGTGATGATATATTGTTGTTTTTAAAAATAATTACCAAACATATTAAATGTGAAGAATAAAAATAAAGTTTTAAATTCTTGTGGACCATTAAATCATGATAATCAAGCATCCATGCCTTCAAATGTGTTTGTAAGTTTCAAAAAAAGACGTCGATAGGCTACACTAGGTTGGGGTTCCGAGGTAAGAGGTAGGGGTGATTTGATAATAGCCAACCATTTTGGTGAAAGATTGACATGCTTATATTCTCTTTCCCCACCTTCAACTACTGATTACACCCCACGAGGAAATGATGACATGTTTACTTTTTTTGTCAACTATATATATTAGTGACACATAAATTTTAGATATCGACTAAAAATGGTATTCCATTTTATCATATAAAAACATCTTATTTGGTTTTTGAAGTATTTTATTAGTTGAAATTGTATTGTTTTCGTAAAAAGTTAGTTCCAAAAATTAATTATATGTTTCCCACAGGATGCCTAACGAGTATCAATTTAGTTGCATCCAAATTTTACCATATTACAAGCTCAAAATGATATAGTGGTAAGATGGGTTAAAATGACATTTTTTTAAATTGCATTCAGAAGTAGCATAGAAAAGATGCATTCTCTCTCTCTTTCTCACTCATTGGCATGTCACCATAGTGGGGCAGTGGATGCCAAGCTTGTCAGCGGCTTGTCGAGCTTAATGTATAGCCCACTCCCGGAAGCCTTAGTGATTATGACCATTTTCTCTTTCAGTTTTATAAAACTATTATGACCATTTTCTCTTTTAGTTTTATAAAACTATTATTGTCCTCTTATAATCTTATTATTTAAAGTGACTTTCATAAGTCTGATTCTGAAACATTATCTTCTTACTAACATGGTAACTTGTAATTTGTATAGTTTCTTATAACCTTTAATTTGAAGTATCGGTAAACAAACAAATCCCAGTTGGTTTTGATAATTATTGTGATTTTAAGTGTAATGAATATGAATTTTTTATGTGATTTCACTTATTATGATTGTTTAGGTTTGGTCACATCTTTTGGGGTGGCAATTGACTTTGTGTTCAAATTTCAAACATAATTTATATCACTTGCTTTATAAAAACATATCAATAATATATATTTTTAAAAGTTTAATGACATATTTCGAATGCAGGACACACTGAAATCATATCCACCAGAAAACAAGATGATGAAAAGAGCATCGCTAATTGGTGTCTCGACAACCACTTTGTTTTACATGCTCTGTGGGTTAATCGGTTATGCAGCATTTGGAAACGATGCACCAGGCAACTTCTTAACTGGCTTTGGATTCTACGAACCCTTTTGGCTTATCGACTTTGCTAATATATGCATTGCCATCCATCTTATTGGCGCATATCAGGTATTTTTCTTATTCATCTCATATTTGAATCCTAAACCTCATGGAATCTACTTACCTCTTAGAAGAGACTTAAACTCTCAACCTTATGAAAGGATGCTCAAACAAGTGATGTAGACGTGCATTAGATGCCCAAAACATGTTAGATGTAAAAATGTTGCATAACTATGTCATAGAATGGAATGTGATATCATATTTTGTTTGAAAAATAACTTTGTTGATTTATTTTTTAATTTTTGCAAAGGGGTTATAGTTGTCTAGAAATCCAACACATAAACTAGCTAATCTTACCATTTCGACTTGTGAGTAGTTTACGAGTAAGTTAGATTTATTGTTAAAAAAATATATGTCTACAAGAAGCTAAACCAATGTTCAGATTAAAACTTTCATACTATTGTTGGGTAGATTAGGACAAGGGTGAAACACTGGTGCATCAACAAACATTTAACCTAAAGTTTTATTATTGCTGAAAGAAAAAAAAACTAAAAATTGTAGGTATTTTGTCAACCAATATTCGGGTTTGTTGAGAAGAAATGTCGGGAAAAGTGGCCCGAAAGCAAGTTCATAATGACAGATCATACTATTAACGTGCCATTTTGCGGAGAGTACTACTTCAACATGTTTAGATTGGTGTGGAGGACAACGTATGTGATGATAACCACACTGATTGCAATGATTTTTCCTTTCTTCAATAGCTTCTTAGGGTTGATCGGGGCCGGTTCATTTTACCCTTTGACAGTTTATTTCCCGATTGAGATGTATATTGCTAGGGCCAAGATACCAAAGTTTTCATTCACGTGGGTGTCGTTAAAGATCTTGAGTTGGACTTGTTTGGTAGTCTCGTTGGTTGCGGCAATTGGATCTGTGCAAGGGCTCGTGACCGAACTCAAGAAGTATCAACCCTTCAAAACCGAATAGAAGCATAAATGATAATAAAGACCGATATTATTACTAACTACTTGTTGTTTTTGCATATGGCGATTGCTCACAAAAATTGTTAGCAATCATGATAAACTCCTTATAAATAGTCGAGATGTAATGAAGCTATGAGAATATATGATTGGTTATTGTTATGGTTACGGTATGGTCAAATGATTATGTTATAGTATTATTTCTTGAGGTGTTATTTCTTGCAACCATATATGGGAATGATATATTTTAGGGATGATGTATATATATATTTTTTATCACATAATATTAATAACCATAGAAAACAATGAAAAAAATATGTAAATTCATTAGACTACTTTGGTTAATGAGAAAAGCACTTTATTAAAAAAGAAACTTATGCATTATAGCTATGAATTCGTTAGTAAACTCAAAATCATAAAAAAATAATCGTGTGGTCCGATATTTTTCATGTAAAATAGAACTTAGAAAGACTAAAAAGAAAAGGAACAACAAACAAAACTAAAGTTAGAACAATAAAACCACAATAATAAAAACAATGATATCATAGAGCAACGTCAAGAAGAGCAACCTTCATGAATAAACTAGAAATTGCAGCCAGCTTGAGAAACAACCTCATAAATAGCAACCAACATGATAAGCCACCTTAAAAATATCCACCTTTAGAGAAAAAGACATACGAATGGCAGCATAGGAACAACAACACCATACACTTGAAAAAACTAAACGAAGTCATCGAATTTGTGCTGCCTAAGACATAAGAAGGGTAAGAACATAAATAAAGTAAACAACACAAGGAACATGCTCTTGGTGCTGCTCAAATCGGATGACGTGATTGGAAATCTCTTATGATAAAGGTCACCTAAGCAAGAGAGTTCCAATATATAGATGAGATCAAGCATGTCAATTAACAAATGGATTGTTAAGGATCCCATACATCTAGGATTTACACTTAGTGTAAGTAATAAAAGTTATTTACCTTGTTGAAATCAAGTGGATGGGATAAAGGTCACCCATTTATTTGAATTGAAACTTGGATCATAGACTTTAAAAATTAAAGTTTTTAAAACTTAAGGGTATTAAATTTTAAAGAAATAAATACTAAATTAATCTTTGTTAAAATTTTGTAGATGGTGCCACCAACAACTATAACACACCATCACTTAATGAACATTTGATCTATACTGGACAAAGAAAAATTTGGTCATTCCAAAAATAAAGAGAGATGAAACTCTGAAGATTGGTGCCAAAACCTCAACAACCCTCAAATCCTCATTAAAAACTCTAAATGGGACTCAACTCATCTCCATACATGATATCTTTGGAAACGATTCAGAAGAATATGTATCTGAGTTAATCAGGATCATGCCCGACATATTTATCAAGCCTCGACCCATCCCAATGATAACCACAAGTCAGAAGCCTCCAACTAAGCATATTGAATCCTCCTCAAACTCCACTGATCGAATATCAAAAGAACTCAAGTTTACTGGTAGTCCAGGTCCTTCCTTAGGCCACTTCAAACTTCTGGAAGTAAAACTTGACTTGATTCTACAATGGTTGCTAAAGTTTTCTCCTTCAGAATTAAAGTTGATCACCTCCGAAGAACTAGAAGCAACACTTCAGAAGGTTCTCTCCACTTCTTCCAATACCGAAGAAGCCCTGTAGAAGTTTAAGGAACTTCAAACCTTTGTTTCCACATCCATCGCACAACTCTCCACGAAGATTTATGACCATAATACATATCTTAAAGAAGCATTTGGGTTATTCTCTGATGGAGGAGAAGGAAGAATGGAGATTGTAACATCCTGTTTCCCGCTATTTCTGGGTCGTGGGTCGGAATTCGATTGTGTAAGGATTTGGGCCTTAAGGAGGCAAACTTTACTCCTTGTGGAAGGAGGTAATGATAGTAAAGAGATTTAACCCTTGAATTGTTTTTTGGGCCGAATGGTAGAAAGGGAAAAGTTATAGGTCGGGTTCTTGCATGAAATATGGATTTTTGTTCGAGAAGTTTTTATTCGAAGATATTTAGATATATTGTGGGTCTCTTCAACACCTTTCCGTGGATATAAATGTTGGATTAATGTTTAAGTCCATAACTATATTTGGTATGTACTTGACCCGACCCGGCATGGTCCATTTGGGTTGCACTTCACCGGCACAATTTATATGGATAGTCTTTTGAGAATAGTATATTTATGATTTATATTAATATATTATAAATTCTAATATATTAATATGGAATCATATTATTTAATTAATATTAATCAAGATTAATTTAGAATTAATTAAGTGATCAAAAAGAACTAATCAAATATGGACTCTTATATATATGGAATGGGC